AAAAAATTTAAACAAAAAAAAAAAAAAAAAAAAAAATCCCATATTATTTTTAAATAAAAAAAAAAAAAAAAAAAATTTAAACAAAAAAAAAAAAAAAAAAAAAAATCCCATATTATTTTTAAATAAAAAAAAAAAAAAAAAAAAAAAAAAAAAAAAAAAAAAAAAAAAAAAAAATATATATATATATATATATATATATATATATATATATATATATATATATATATATAAAATATAAAATAAATATACACAGGAGTTTTGAGTTTAACTACTGCTCAGAGTTTTGTTCTTTCATTAAATGCTTGTTTTTGAGTCTTTACTACAATTATTAACAATTAATCAGTTAGGTAGAGATTATTTCAGTAATGAATTAGTCATGATTAATACAATTAATCTTTTCAGTATTTGTCCAAAATAAACAGTGGAATCAAACTTTACAACACATTTAGTTTGTTATGCAACTCTTGTTTTCTGGCGCCACCATCTGGTGAGAGTTTATTACTAAACTGTAGCTTACAGGTCTGATGCTGCCGGCGCCGCTCTCTGGGTATTTAGGAGGTTGAGGGGATCCTTGAACTGGACCTGAAGGAAAGACAAACATTCAGATTGTTCATCTTTCATCTCTGTGAGCTCTTTGTTTTCACCGCAGACAAAGCAGCTGATCTTACTGTGATACGGGCTCTTGTGCGGCGCCGGCGGAGGCCGGTGGTGTCCGTTGTGGTAAGATGGCGGCCGGCCGACGGGAGAGGCGGCGACGCTGCACGGACTGGACCCGGGAGAGGCGGCGGTGGGAGTCTGCAGGGGGCTGCTGTGGAGAGGCGCCGCCTGGAAGGGACTGCAGGGGGAGCGGTCGCTCTGAGCCACGGCCGAGGGAGAAGCCTTAAAACGCAAAACGCAACGTCACAAACCGACACGCTGCAAACTGGATCGACTTCTGCACAATTCAAGCTTTAAACACAACAGCAGCTCCATTTATACAGGGATCTTTACATTTTATAAAATTTAAACACTTTTTAAGCATTTCAAGGTAAGTTTTCAAACTTTTACATTTCTTTGAAGGTAAAAACAATACAAACAAACTAAAAGAAGACTCATATTCAATATATCATATCATATTCAGAGGTGGTAGAGTAACCAAAAGTTGAACTCAACTAAGAGTAGAAGAACTTCAACATATTTTTACTGAAGTAAAAATAAAAAGCAGCAATCTAAGAAATTACTCAAGTAAGAGCAAAAAAAGTACAGAGTAACTGATGAAAAACATTTTATACTTAAAAATTACATCATCAGATGGAGTGGAACTATTGGTATTTTAAGGATCAGGATAAAACATATTTCATACAAGTAAAATCAGGTGAAATATTTGTTTTTCCAAATCAATTTCTTTCTATATAAAAATTATGAAACTTATGAAAACTGTCTGGTGGATTTTTGGTTAGAACATGTTTGTTCTTTTTTCAAGAGAAGCAATACTTCACAATCAAGTACAAGTAAAAAAGTACAGGGTAGTAAAAGTTCTCCTAAAAGTACATTTTATCCAAAAAGTTACTCAAATAAATGTAACTGAGAAAAGTCATTTCTACCCAACTCTGATTATTTGTTAGTGTAACTAATAACATCTTGTGATTGTATTCTACATTCTACAGCAGGGACAATACAAGTTAAAAATAGCAACATGTGATGTTTTGAAACGTCTCTCACACACCTGACTGGTCGGAGAACAAAAAACGAATAAAATAAAAAATTCAATAACCTTGTTTAGTGTATAATACATAAGCCAAACTTTATATCAATTACACAGACCAATAAGTCATAGAGAAGTTAAGAATAATAGATATTCATTACATTGAAACAATCCAAGCAAATTATGTTCAGGTTAAGAGCCTTCCTGCTCAAATTAAATGCTTAGACAAAGAAAGTTCCAAAAAAAAAAAAAAAAAAAATCTAAAAATTTTTTCTGGCATTTCACAAATGAAAATAATTTAAACAATTCTAACTAACCTAAAACAAGAAAGTCTGATTTAACTTCAGACAGTGAGAAAGAAAATGTATCTGTCTTTTTATTGTGTATGAAAATATCTGGTTTCAACTGTACATAAAGTTTTCAAGGCTTCAAGCACCCATATGGCCGTGTTTTAGTATCGGAAGCCCACCTGCATGCCACCTTCTTTCTGTCCATCTCCGTTTTCGATGACTCCAGTGAGATCTTCCACCAGGACGGCAGGAAAGACGCCGACGGCGCCGTTGAACTCCCCCTCCCAGAAACCGTCGTCCTCATGAGTCTCTCTGCTCAGGATGCGGATGATGGCGCCTTCGGGGAACGAAAGTTCTTCGGCCGTTTGACCCGCGTAGTCGTACAGAGCCTTCGCAAACGACACTGATATAAACAGATTATTGTCATGTTATATGCTTGTCTGATGCTGATCAGCAGTAGTGTTGGGTTTGTGGGCCTCACCGCTGGAGTCTCCGTTGACGGAGCTGGCAGGCAGTTCGGTCTCGGGTTCGGTGGAGTTGCTGGATGAGTGGGAGCGGGCGTCCAGCGAGGCCAGCGACTGCAGCATGCTCAGCAGGCTGTTGGAGGACGGCAGCTGCAGGTATTTCTCTGGGACATAACCGACCTGTCCACTGCGGTTTCTGGCCTGCAGAGATAAAAGTGTCAATAAATATATATCTGTAAAGACACAGCCATGTTTCAATCCTTATGAAGGATTCCTAAAGAATCCCTCATATGGACTCATATATACATATATGTATATACATACATACATACATGAATGTGCAGCATCATCTTACCTTGAGCCAGTCCTCCATATCTCCATCATCAATGACCTCCAGGATCTCCTGTTCCTCGATGGTTAGTTCATCTGGCTGAGACGCCTGCAGGCAGCAGTTTAAACTGACTTCAGTTTTCCTCTGTTATAATCCAACTCCACTGTTTACCTTGTCCTCTTCCAGCTGCTCGGTCAGCTCTCTGTTACCTTGTAGGAGTAAAGCACTTTGCAGGTGAGCGGATAGTTCTTCAGGGTGCTGGAGGGACTGGAGCTGCTGTCGTCCAACACCTCACCGCTGTCCTCCGTCTCCTCATCTTCCCGCTCCAAATCAGCTGTTCCCTGAAAAAAATTACATCTTCACTTCTGCTAAATGTCACTTTAGTTAAGCACAAAAAACTGTTTTTAGAGCCATTTCCATAACAGTAGACAAAAACATTGAGTTTTGCTTGAATAAGTCAGGTTTGGGGTCTTACGGAAAGTGAAGGATCATGGGTATTGAGGTTGTTCCAGCGCTCGTTCTCCAGCTCCTCCATCACCTGGTTCATCGCGCTCTTCAGCCACGTTTCCACGGCAACTCCCGCCTGCCGCAGGAGGTCCAATCGGGCCTCAGCCTTCACTTTCACAGTCTGCCATTAAATGATAAATGGCCATTTTATTTGCATACCAATGTGGCAGCAAGACATTTACAGCTTCTACTGTTAATTTAGCAAAGCAACCAACAATTATTTTAGGTATTTATTATTGGATCGATTATTTTGATGATTAATCAGAGACAAAAACAGGCACATTTTGCAGATTTTTGATTTAACCACTTAAGACTTTTTTATACAAAATAAAAAAACCACAAATAAATAATTGAATTCCCTTTTAAATTAGAAAATAAAATTGTTCTTCCCTAAAATGTAATAACAGCATTTATTTGGTATACACTGATCCATTCATTATGTTTTAGATGAACCTATTAACAACTGGATCGCAAAAGGTTCTGAACAGAAAATCTTTTCCTACTAAGAATTTGAGCCAGAATTTGAAAACGATGCCACAGGAGGAGTTCTGGGTATAACATGTTTACAGAAAAAGAAGAGTTTTTAAAATAAAAGTGTATATTGTTTTTATATTTCTGGTATAATTGCTGCTCTGACTGTATTGTTTTTTTCAGCAGATTACCCTTTTTAGAGTCTGTACACTACAGTTAACCATTAATTGATTACTAAATTCGTTGACAATCATTTTAACTACTTGAAATGATTAGTTGAGAAGTCTGCTCTGCTCTGCATCCTAAGAACCAGAACCAAACACGGAGAAGCAAATTTCAGCTTCTACCCTCCAAAAATCTGGAACAACCTTCCAGAAAACTGCAAAACAGCTGAAACACAGAGTTCAATTAAATCTAGACTAAAAACCCAGCTGATTGATTAACAAGTGGAACATCAATGGTTTTAATTTTAGCTTTCCAACTTCAATTTACTCCTTTTTTATATTCTCTCCATATAAAGCAATTAGAATTGTCTTGTTACTGAAATGCATTATATAAATAAAGTTGCCTTGGCTTAAATTTTCCTCTAATGGAAATGTCTGACATTCCACATGAATGAATGAATGAAAGGTTTATTAGACCTTCAGCATGTCACTTCACCTCTCTAACCAGCAGATGGCGGGCTGGAGACAGTATATGTGAGAACAAGAGTGAGATTTAGGGTGCATTCACACCATCCCAGAATTAGAGTCTTGAATCAGACTCCAATAAATTTGTCTAGAAAGTCCGATTTGTTAGGGAGGCGAGAATGCAAATTTGAATTCCAAAACGGACTAAAAACGTGAACTCTGATCCGCCTAAAAACCTAGGTCTCGATCCGGTTGAAGTGAACTCTTGCACGGTTGAAAGCATATCTGAATGCAACCTGACTAGAAACCGTTCCAGAAGCAGGAAGTGGACTACAGTGCAGGGCATTCTGTGTCATAACAAATGTGAGTTTCCACCATTAGCGGAAAAAATGGCTTGTGGTCAGACGTACAGTTGCACAGTGACACACCAAGGTAAAAAGACTTCGCCATCAATACATCAAAATCCATGACATGCTAAGGACAAGTGGAAGTTCAGGAGACGCGAAGGACAAGTTTCCTTGGTATGATGAACTAGATGCTATTCTTGGCACTCGATCCAGGAGCAACACGCAACATGTTGTGGAGTCCTACCAAAGATAGCATCTGCTTTTTGTCTTCTTCGGAGGTTTTTGTGTTGATTCCTTCAGTAGACGTTGGTGCAGCGCCACCACAGGCAATGGTGGGAACAGGTTTTTCAGTTAGTTTGAGTGGTTTGACACAGTGCAGTGTGAATGCGAACTACAGTCCTGAAAATGTAACTAATGTTGCAATTTTGATCCCCAATCGAACCGAGTCTACCGGATTATCAGGTGTGAAAGCACCGCTAGAAGAGATTTCATCGTTTCACCTCTGACCGCCGAAGACTCTGCCGGGCCACCTCCATCTTGGTCTCCACCTCGCCGCCGCTCTGCTCTGACGTATCCTGATTTCCGTACTCCTCCAGGGCCTGAAAGCAAACCACGAGGAAACATTGTCATGGTTACATCACAGACATCCAGAGTGTGAACAATAGAAGTGTGACTCATCTGAAAATGAAAGAGATAAGAGGTGATGAAACTCTGACCTGAGTCATCTCTCACATGGTGCTATAATCAAGCATAAATTTACAACCTCTGGGTTTATTTTTACCAAACTAACACGTCCTGCAGCTCGACAGGAAGAGGGACAGATTCCAGTTCAGTGAAGGAAAACAACACGTCAGACTAGAGATCAAGGAACAGATATGTGTTAAAACTGTAGAGAAAACTAATTTTGCTCAGAAACAATATATTTAAATTTTGGTGCGAGTTTCTTTAGATCCACAAATCCAAACTGCATGATTTCCCATTATTAGTGTAAATCTTGCAATAAATGGTAAATAAATCTTGGAAATCTTAGCTCTAAACAAATCCTGGATTTTTACAGCCATCTGGGACTTTAAATGGCCCAATATCCATAGAAAATCCCAAACAAAACAAGTGTTAATTCCAAATGCAAAACATAATTATGTTGCTTTGGTTTAAAACAAGAGCTTTTAATCTGAAGGTGACCAATATTGTTTTTGTTTGGTAGCTATATTAGCACCCTGGTATGTTTTTAATAATATGCTGACTAAATATGGGCTGAACAGTGCATTTCATTGCTGTACCATTAATAATAATGTAAAGGACTGTTATTTTCATATGTCATAAATACACACTCTGCATGTCAATAAGATATTCAGTCTCACAGCTGACACAGGTAGTAGAGCACAAGACACTGAAGTTCCCACTGACAGGTGGAAACAATAAATAATACAAGTTTAGAGTAATTGTTTACTCGAGTCAGGTAAAGAGTCTGTGTGAAGAACAGGATGCAGTTCTCAGGGCTTCATTTCAAAAGTACTTTATTTATTTCAAAGGGAAACTAAATGTTGCAACTTAAATCATCCAAGTATCTTCAAAAAGTCATTGTGGATGGTGATGCTGCAAAAAGAGGGATCTCCAGTAGCAGTCAGTCTTGCCAGAGAATGAAAAAACCTCTGACTGAACACTGTTGCTGTATGACAGTCTCATGACTATTACAACATGCTAATAGCTTAATATCTAGACAGCAGAGACAAAATTTCACAATAACATGTCCTGAGTGACACCATCAGTTGTTGGAAAGCTCTGCTAACCCACCTCATTTGCTTTTGCTGCTCCTCTTTAAGTTTCTGACTAATCGCTTGGTTAGAAAACAGCAGAAAGACGTTGGAATTGGGGATATGACATAAAAAAGGCCCATTTCACAGCTTTTTAAACACCCACTGGGTTATCTTACACTAAATGTACATTCATCAATACAGTTTGTGATCTTTGATACCTTCTGTTAAAAAAAAAAGGGTAAATTGCAGTGCTTTATTTGCACCTAAAACGACCCGAGATTAAAACCTTTTTTTTACAACACAGTTTAAAATCTCACAAACAGTGACATGGCCATTTTTGACTTGTGCATTCATCTGCAAATAACGCAAAAAAAAAAAAAATAATAATATATATATATATATATATATATATATATATATATATATATATATATCAATTTAAAACTAAATCAATATAAAAACGATTTCTTCTGGTTCTTATCATTTGGATAAAGTAATCAGAAAAATATGGAAATACTAACATCATTCTATATTCAGATTTCTTTTGACGATATTTATGTCCACATTTGTCCAGTGGATGTTTTATTTCTAAGCTCTATTGCTCCACATTTTAGCTCAGGCACATCTAATCTAAAACTAAAAATGAGACCAAATATCTGAATTTGAAGAAATGAATAAATAAATCTCATATTATTTTCCTCATTCCTCTGTTTTTTTAGCAAACAGAAATAATTTATAGTGATTCTAACAAGAGAGAGTTGGTTTAACATCAGACAGTGAGAAAAAAGTGGACATGTCTTCTAACATTTAATGATTTAAGTGATATTTTTACAGGACAGCATATGAGACACCAAGCTGTGTTTGATTTCCTCCTCACCCTCTGTGTGTGGATAATGCTTTTGTACTCTCGTGCTACGCGGCTCGCCCACTTCCTCGCCTCTTTATCCAGGCTGTGCTCCTCGGCCGTTCCGCTCTCTTTCTGCAGCTCCATCACCTGAGACATAAAAACACCAGCATGAAAAAGATTAAATCCTGAAAACTTGATCATTTTGATAGACTTTAAGTATAATTTTCCTGTAGAAATTCTGTGAATCTTTGCAAAAATAAAAAAATAAAATAAAATACAAAAAAAGCAGCTCTTCCAAAAAGTTCTCTTTGATGCAAATGTATTCCTCTAGGGGGCGCTGTTGAACATGTTCAAATCATTTTAGGTTATTTCTCCCCTTCAGTCTGATTCCAAACTTACAAATTGCTGCCCACAACTCCAGCCTGGAGCTTACTGGCATCTGCTTCTCTGCATGGAAACCAAACTGAGCTCAAACATATTTTATGTTTTTCTCCTTCCCAAAATAATAACAATAATAAAAATAAATAAAAAATAAGATTTTTGGACAACACAGCATAAAAACAAAGAGATGGTTTTAAAAATATAAAAAGCTTCGTATATATATTTAGATCGGTCTGCTGCTGTTGAAAAGATTTAATATGATGAAAGTAAAAAAAATATATATACTGAAATTTTATTTTAGTTTTATATAAAGAGTGAGTGAGTTAATGAGTTACTCAGGAGGCTGTTGGTAACCAAACAGAAAAGGAGTTAGTTGATCCAACCAAGGTAGCTTAGCTGTTTGTGAGAAGTTGAGAGACTAAAGTCTTTCCTCTGCCTACATCCCCCAGAATGCTGTGCGGTTCTGGATCGGGGTTCAGTGGAATTATTGCATATTCCATCAGACAATTAAATGTCCAGCCCTAGTTTTATAGAAAGTACCATTTGGAGTCATAAAGACAAAACACAGGGTTAAGATGTAACAGTGTGTCTATGGTGTAAACTTTTCTTTTCATTAATTTTTGAGTAAATGGATCCACATGACATCAGGGCAGTGTGTGCATGAGTGTGTGTTGAGGGAAGAGGCCAGGGTGGTGGGGGGCTGAGGTCAGTGCACTCTGATGAAACACACACACAATGCCTCCTTTTCACAGATGGCCCGTTCACAGGGCTCGGCCTGCTTCCCATCCAGCTATGTTCCTCACCGGATCCCCTCGTCGGCAGCGAGAGGCGCTGGACGGAGGAAAGGAGAGAGAGCGGGAGAGAGAGAGGCGCTGCACCACTAAAGTTTTCTTTAGGAACAGGCTGCTGCTTGTTTGGCCTCCAATCAAAACAACACGAGCATTTGCAGTTCGAACAAATTGTCCAGTGTTGTCCAATGGAGCAGTGGAGAAAAGGAGCGCCAGTGATGGGTGATCTGCTCCTTCTTTCATGAGTCGTTAGAAAATCAGGGGAACATCTGAACTCCAGACTCATCTCAAAGGAACATCCTAAAATATGTTTGGATCCTGTGTTTGTTTAAAGCAGGGTAAAAAATCGTCCAATCAAAGTGACGTGAATGAGGGGAAATGTCCTTCAGACATAGCAGGTCTGAGGAGATGAAGAGAAAGTCAGAATGAAACTTAGCGGCCATTTTAGGATGGATTTGATTCACATTCTTCATTTCTGTCAAAACCACAGAGTTATCTAACATAAAAACTAAACTTAATAACCTTGATATGAAAAAATGTATCATAACTGATGGATGGATGGACTGAAGAACAGATGAATGGATGCAACTTTTAGCTGATGAAAAAGAAGATAAAACCTGGAAATTCAAATATTTTTCATTCTCCTTGTTTCAGCGTTTCCAAACCTTGAAAATCCTTAAATCACATAATCTAGCCTGAGTAGAAATCCAGAAAAAACTATAACTGATAAACAATTTTAGAGTTTAACTTTTAATCAACAGCTGCACCTCTGTGTTGCAACAATCAAGCAGTTAATAAAGCTCCTTGCTGCTGGGTTTCACTTCCAACACAACATGCTAAAAAACGCTAAACAACCACGAGAAACCCTTTCGGAACCATGTATCCTTTTTATTTTCTGATTTGTATTGGTCTGAGGCATTGTTTAAGCAGAGAGTGAGCGCTCCCGTCAGCTGTTTCTGAGCTCAGTGTAAACGCTTCCACATGCCGCATTGTGTTGGAATTTCCTAATAAAAAACATGCAAAACAAAGAATCAATCAATCCAAACAAAGACAACACAATCCAACCACTTCTGGTAATCCACTGATTTCTAGGATTTCTTAAAATTCTTTTCCCGTCATTAACAATCCAGTTGGACGCATTTCCTTCTTTTGCTATAAACCGCTGTTGACATTAGTTGAATCATTCATATTATCTGGATTTTATGTCCCACTTGCTCGTAAACATGATAAATATGAAGATTTCAAAACAAACCCGGAGTGATCGACACCCACCGGAAACTTTGTTTACGAGAGGGCGACATTTCTGCGAATCATAGAAACGTTTCTGTGGGGGGAAAAGCTGTTTACGACTGTCAGAACAAACTTTTAGCAGTGAATAAATCTGCAAACAACTGCTTACAAAAGGAATTTCAACACATTTTCTCCCAGATCCTGATAAAATTTTGCATTCTAACCAAAAAGTCTGATTACCAGAGTGAAACAAAGAACCTAGCTTTAAGTTGTATTAGAAAAAGAACAAATTGAGTAACTATTTCATATTTTTCCAATAAAATTCACGAACTAGAAAAAGGGAAGGGTGCTAAAAAAAACAAAAACAAAGGGAAGCTGGGCATTTGTTTTCAAACAAAAACGTTTATGGTCTGCAAAGTTTTTCTAATACTTTTGATCTCAAAACACGATAAAGTAAAAAAAAAAAAAAAAAAAAAAAAAAACGCAAAACCCAAAAAATTAAAAAATAATAAAAAAAGGAGGCCTATTTCCAAAAAAAATGGTAAA